TAGCACCCGAAACGAAATAGGATGAATACATTATGCATAGTTAAGTGGTGGTCTTCTGGCAGACTTAAATCACAAGTTCGTGCCATAAAAGACGCAACTACATTTCGAATAGTGACGGGCACGTAGTTACATCGAAAGGACCGAGTTGTGATTGAGGCTTTGTGTCAAGAAGTTGTCAGTGCCATAAAAGACGCAACTACATTTTGAATAGTGACGGGCACGTAGTTACATCGAAAGGACCGAGTTGTGATTGAGGCTTTGTGTCAAGAAGTTGTCAGTAACATTGAAGACACAACTACATTTTGTATAGTGACGAGCACGTAGTTACATTGAAAGGACCGAGTTGTGATTGAGGCTTTGTGTCAAGAAGTTGTCAGTTTGCCGATTCAAGCGAAACGAATGGCACCACAGCAACAAGACAGCAGGCAACACCCGCGGTACCGTCCGAGGTACCTTAAGACCGGTCAGCCGGCGAAGAGGTGCGGTTGGGTGAAGCCGAGAAAAGGGGAAGTTGCATCATGTCGAGGGTTGGCGATTGCGAGCGGCATAAACGTGGCCGAGTCAAAAAGAGAGTGGAGATTTTGGCAGAAACGTGAAAAGTGGTCTGCTTACGTGGCTGAGGCGAGAATTGAGGTCGATTCGGTAGAGCTCGACGCACCTTTTCAGGTCGCCCAGCGAGTTGTTCACGAGAGCATCGTAGAAGAGGAGACCGGGTATTGTACTGCTGGGAGGGTGGCTGGCCATTCCGGGCTTGCTGATCTGCTGTGCGGCTGGGCGTCAGGAGGGTAGTCTGGAAAGAGAAGAAAACAGGAGTCATCACTTCTCAAGACACTTTTCACCCTTTGCCTGACGCAAACAGAGCCACACCAACACAACCCGACGACTGACAGACGGGCAAGACGACGATTTGCAAGGCAAACAGGCAACCGGATACATTCACATGGAATAGTTGGTGAGACCGGTTGCCATGTGGGCACCCGTACTAGCCAGAACCGTCCAGAATCATTCGGTAACAACTGGCAATATCTGATACTATCCGGTACCATTTGGTATCATCCGATAGAATTTGGTACCATCAGGCATCATCAGACAGAATCTGGAATCGCTTCGGCCGTCAGATAGAATCTGGTACCATACGCTAAAAAAAGTACCATAAGGTAGTGTCCGATAGGATTTGGTACCATCTGGTGAAAAATGTGCCATCAGATCGCATCTGGTAACATCTGGAAGCATTAGGTTGCACCATGTTCCATCTGCTAACATCAAATACCATCCGATAGAATCCAGGAGCCCACGGTACCATCCAGCTTGATCCAGTAGCATCAGGTGGCCTTTTTACAATCCGGCGCCGCAGATCCGGTGAACAGCTGACCTCGGATCAGTT